TAGGGTTTAGGATTTCAGGCAATAACCCTAAACCCTAAACCCTAAACCCTAAACCCTAAACCCTAAACCCTAAACCCTAAACCCAAACCCTAAACCCTATACCATGATACGGTTTGTAGGAGCTGTATAGGTTTTCGAAGATGACCCTTTTAGGGTTTCCGTGTGTCTAGAAGGGATATTGCGCTTTTGTTAAGGGCTGTAGATAGGTTTATAAGGTGAGCTCTTGGTATGAAGATTTGGGGGTTTCCGAAAATAGGGGCTCCTAATATGGTACCCCAAATAGTAGGATCCTTATTATAAGGGCCCCCAAATAAGGTACCCCCAATTTTCGGAACCTCCAATTTAAGGGTTTAGGTTCGAGGGCTTGAGGCTTGGGATTTGTGTGGGCTGAAGCCGCAGGGCTCCCAGCAACGAGGCTTTTGGCTAACGAGGCGGTTCTTCCTGCATTACCCTAAGGACCCTAAACTATGGGAATCATGGTACATTCCTTATTATGGGTAATGCAGGATTTATATCATCAACCGTTCCAGCTTGCGGATTTAAGGTTGAGGGTTTGGGTTTAGGGTTCAGGGTTTGGGTCTAGGACTTCCGGCTGCGGGGTTTAGGGCTCAGGCATTAGACGTGTTAGGCTTTAGGGTGTTGAGGGTTGAGGGATTAAGGGCTTCGTGGGTTAAGAGATGAGGGGGAGCCGCGCACGACCACGCTACCATGTTAAAAAGACCGCTGCTGGCACAGGTCGAGACCAAGCTGTGAGCAATAGTTTGACGGCTTCGGCTTCCTGACCTGTGAAAGGACCTCGGTACCCGAAGAGCCTGACCACTACGTTTCGGGGTTAGGGTTTTGGGTTTAGCGTACAGAAGATCCTGACCGCTAGAAGATGGTTTAAGCACGTGTTGCAAAGTGGACCTGTTCTTTCCGCCGCCAGAATGGACAGGTCAATGCTGGCATTCGTGAAGCCCACGCCGCCTGCTGTCTGCGGAAGCAACAGAGAGCCTAGTCATGAGGGTAGACTGGGGGTACTACACCGGTACGCCCTTAAATCCTCGACCCCAAATCTCCCTAAACCCAATAGTTCGAAACTCTAGACCGGACTATAGGGGATGAGTATTACCACCCATCGCAGCGCATCGAACTCCAACCCTAAGAGTCTCGGACTATTGGGCTTCCTGTTTCGAGTTGCCCCCTTCCTGCCTCACTTTTGGGAGTGCTCCCGGATGAGCTCTCTGATCACCCGATATGTCATGATCGTACCTGGGTAAGACGTAGGGTCCAAGGGCTGGAAACTCATCGGCTTAGACGACTACCTACAAGCTTCTGCAGATTGAGATGAAGGCTCGTAGATCCTACCCCCGAAAACGCTGAAGCCCTCCACATGCAAAGCAGTGGAAAGTTGCTAGGTTGCCATTCCCACTTGGAGGTTCTTCGGTAGTTATAAGTAGGGCTAAATTAGTAGCTATGGTTGCAACCTATATGGGGGTTTCCGAAAATAGGGGACCCTAATATAGTATCCTAAGTAATAGGATCCCAAAATAAGCCCCCCTATCTTCGGAAACTCCCATAACCCCACGAACCTCCAAAGCACTCTCGATGTCTTGAGTTTGGACAGATTGGGCGGGGAACAGCGCATGGTGCTCCTACTTGCGGGTCCCATAGCCATTGCCGTATTTGAGGTTATTCCCTCAGCCCCCTAATCCTAAACCCTACACCCCAAACCCCTCAACCCCTGAACCCTAAACTCCCAACCCCTGAACCTTTTTAAATCCAAAACCCTAACGAAAGATATGCTTCTGGATCGGGACTGCAGTTTCTCCTTTCCTTTAGGGTTCTGTGTCTAGGGTTTTGGGTGATGACGCTTCGGTGCTGAAGGAACCTTGGGTGTAGGGTTTAGGGTTGCTCTCGAATTATTTGGCACTGAGTGAGGGGCTTTTGGATTTTACTGACAAGCAGCTGCCGCTAAACCCTAAACCCTAAATCCTAAACCCTACACTCAAAGCCGTGAACCCAAAACCCTAAACCCCAAATCCTAATTTCTTAAGGCTCTGCACCCTCCGGCCCTTTTCCTTCAATCTGTGGTTCTGTGTCATCAGTCATGATATGACATGATGTGGGGCTGGGGGGCGGGGTAGTATTACCCGAAACCGCCCTCTCCACCACCCACCCCTCCGCAAAAAGAAACCGGAAGCTGTAGCTCCAATTTCGATTCGATGAAGCCCTGTGTCTATGTCGGTTCACAGCTGTCTACTATGCTGAACTGACACCCCCAGCAAAATTCATAATTGTAGCTGTTTCTTAGGGATTACAGGAGCCAACGATCAAAAAACTATTTCTACGTACCCCCAAGTAAACTAAACACCATGGGCACGTGCTTCACCAAGCAGCTGGCGACGGCCGCGATCAATGCAGTTCCCAAGATGATCGAGAGCTGTGTGGGCAGCGTATGTCCCCAGTGGGACTCATTGGCAAGCCTCGGCTGAACCCTAATTAGGGTTTAGTGTAGGGTTTAGGCTTTAGGGCTCAGGGTGTAGGGTTTAGGGTGCTTCGGAGCCCTTACCCCCCAACATGCCGTGCAGCCTCAGCCCTAATGTAGAAGCCTACAGAATTACCATTATTATTCTTGGGGTTCCTTATTATAACTCTAAGACTACGGCAGCAGAGGAAGCACTTTTTCCCCAGTGCAACAGCGAAATCACATGAGCCTCCAGTGCGAGCGAGGAGCGAAACAATGTAACATATGCACTGACGGCCGGAACATCCTTCTCTCTTAGGAAAGACGCCTGTGCGGAGGCCTAACAGCGCTCTTCAGATTTACACTGCTTCAAAACAATCTTTCCTTCCTTCAAAGGGAGACTTAGCTGCCCTGAAAGAGGCCACCAGTCACTAGCCTGTTTCGGCTTTGTGAGGACGTCGGCTCGTTGTAGATGAGTCGGTACCCAAACAAGAGGAGCTTTGGCGTCTTCGTAGTCAGCAGTCTCTTCCATCAGCGTTTGTCTTAGACAGGCAATGTCTATTGCCAGCCTTCGATCGGAAGGGGTTCGTGGTAGTCCGTCGCGGTGCATGTGGTCATACAAGGACCGACAGTCGGTCACTCCCAGAATGGGGATGCCTTTCCCGGCGTCGCTGGTGATCTTCCCGGTGAGAAAGGAGTCGATCATCGCCCTCACATACTGGCCGAGTTCGAATCCCTCAATGCATCCCATGGTTTCAGCGCCGAAGGTCGACCTACAAACTCGATCGCATGCGTGGGAGCGCCATTCCAGGATGCTCGCCGGAGCTCCCAGAGAGTTGATTCCATTCTTCCCACAGACCATCACGAGGGCCCCAAGCTGCGAGGCCACATTGGAATTCTTCTTCTTCGTCTTTCGGGCCTTGTTCACCCAAGGTCCTTCCGTAATCATCCCGTTCTGCTCGTCGTCCTCGTACAGGAAGTAGACAGGGTCCTCGTTGGAGTCCGGCGCATTGCTCCATCCGGCGTCGTGAAACACAGCCACCACCATCTCGTCGAGGGGAATCTTCGCCAGTAAAATCCCCTCGTCCTTGTGGAGTAGTGCCCGCTTCGCCATGGTGTTAGTGAAGCGTATATCCTCCACCGCAGGTCGTGCCTGTAGCTGCTGGCACATTGAGACGCCACAGGCCAGATCAGGCCTTGATTGCGATGCCAGCCATGACAGCGCTCCAACTAAAGAGCGGTTGTCTGCGACTTGTTCGGTGTCCGCCAGGGCATCGGCAGGGGCCTTGGGGTCCACGTAGATCTCGAAGAGGCGGTTGGTGGCATAGGAGGACTGGGAAACGAAGATGCCATCGTGTCGGGTCTCAATGTGGGAACCGATAAAGTCGAAAACGTCCTCCTCCCATTCATCAACTGGAAAACATTTGGACAGTTGATCCTGCACAGAAGTGCGGAGAGCTCGGGGACCTGCGAGTAGGATGTCATCAACATGGACCGCCGCATAGCAAAGAGGTTTCCCCGGGCCGCGCTCCCCTTCAGCGTCCAATTCGATCAATTGGAACACGCACGGGTCAAGCGGTGACGCAAAGAACTTGCCCTTCTTGTTGTCGGGTAGATCGATGACCAATTTCTGGATGTCTTTCTTGAACTTCTTCCACCATTTCCGAGGACTGTCAATCAAGCCAAAGACCCCCTTCTCTATCTTGATGAGTTGATCAGGATGGAGTCCCGGAAGTCCATGTTTGGGCTGACGTAGGTATAATTCACGATCAAGCTGCTCGCCGTTCAAGAAAGCCGCGGTAACATCGCCTGCTGCTACTCCCCAGTCTGCATCCAGTTGGGAGGCGGCAAGTTGAAGCAAAGTCATGACGGCCGTCCGTGACACCGTAGGGGAGTCGGTGCGGAGAGCACCGGAGACGATGTCTGGGTCGGTATGACCTGACACCACCAGTCGTGATTTGGCCTTCCACTCAACCGAGGGGTCAGTCCTTCTCCGAGCGAGGTTCTTGTCTCGGTACGCAAACCTCGAAGAAAGAACACGTCCAGACTTGAGTTTTTCAGCGCTCTCCACCAGGTCCAAAGGCCGTAGAGCTCCAAGGCGAAGGTGCTCCTCCCACTGTTTGTGCTCCGCGTCGATGAAAAGTTGACGTTTTGACTCCGGTATCATATGCCAAGGGATCTCCTTCTCGAGCTGTTTGTCGCGGCCTCTCTTCGTAGTAGCCCTTTTCAACATGTGGACCTCCTTAAGGTTTTCGCCTTCCTTAGCGGAGTCGTAGGGCTCCGGTCTCTTCGTGGAAAACCTCCTGCGGACGGCGCGGGAAGGTCCATCAGGTAGAGGAGCAAGTGGTTCCTCTTCCGGTAGGTCCCCGTTGTCGAGCTCCATATCTCCCGTGCCATCCTCGCCTATCTCGTCTTCCACCTCCGAGAGGTCCATCACCGCATCGAAGAGGTCTTTGTCGCCAATCTCGGCATCGTCCTCGCCCGGAAAAACAGCAGAGTCATCGTAATTCCTTTCCACCAAGCGGAGCAGATCATCTTTGGTGGCGCGAAGAGCTTAAAGTCCTCCGAGTTCTTCGGGCAGTGCTTTGCGAAGATGTTCTGGCGCGCAGAGGTAGCACCGTCCACTGTGCGAAACCCAGTAGTTGCCGTCTTGGCGTCCTATCACAGTGCCGGGCCCTTTCCAGGAGCCGGTCTTCTTGTTCGCAGGCTTCCTCCAGAAAAGCACCATCGCTCCATTGTCCAGGTCTCTTGGCTTCACACGCGCTCTCTGTGACATCCCCCTCCTGATCTTGTCCTCGGTGCGGGACCTGAAAAAGGAGAGCTTGGCGGCATTTCGGATGGTAGCCCGACGTTGTTGGGCGGAGTCCGGTGTCCTGAGTAATTCGCCGCCGCCCTCTTCCACCTCGAACTTCAAATCGTCGTCTCCGCGCGGGTTTTTCCCAAAGACGATCTGGCAGGGGGCCCATCCACAACGACGACGTAGTTCGTTCTTTGCGGAAGAAGTAGCAGCAATGGCCTCTTCCACTTCTTCTCCTCGTACGGTTTGTTCTTGCACCACCCTCGCAAAGATCTCCTTCCACCATTTTCCGTGCCTTTCTGTGAAACCCGATTGCCAATGGGCCTGTCCTGCACTGGTGCGGAGGTCGATGTGGAACCAGTCGGCAAGGCGACCAAAGGCGTCTTGGATGCCCCGCTCCAGGTCCAGGGTGATCACTTTTGGTGCCCCGAACACCTGGATCCAGTGCTTCACAAAGGCTTTCTCGAGGACAGCTCCGGTCTGGCGGGGTACTTGTACCACGATCTGGTAGGAAGAGGCGTGGTCGACGATGGAGAATAACTTGATCTTCTTCCCGTCGATGTCGTAGTCATACATCATGTCAACGCCCACCACATCACCGAATTCCAAAAGCTTCGGCTCGGCTGCAGGACGGGCGCTCCTAGGCCCCTTTGTTCTCGCGCAGGTAGAACAGGACAGGCTCTTGGCGGCCTTGATCACCTCCTTATCGGCACCGGCGAGGTGTAAATGGCGGACCAAATCCTCTCGGGCAGGATGTCCGAGATTCTGGTGTAGTCGTCGAAGAGCAGCGGCAACGTCCCTCGAGACCTTCTTGTCGAAAGTGATTCCAGCGGCTCCTTCACGAAGGGGTTGTTCATCACGTTCTTCCCGAGCCTCTCCTTCCGCCATGTGGTTTGCGAAAGCGCCCGTAGACGAGGTCTTGTAGCACTGCTGGTTGTCAATGACGACGGTATCGACCGAGCCAAAGGTCATGAGTTGTCGTAGAACACGCTGTTGGGTCCCTTCTGGCAGTAGGTCGACCGGTACCACCACCGATCCGTACTGTTGTACTTGCCATCGTCCGCAGACATCCACCACCTCAAAGAACTTGGCCTCATCGAAGAACTTGTTGTGCGTCGCCGGGTTGATCCATAACATCGAAGGGCAGGACTGGTTGAGTAGCCCATGGACAAAGTTGCCGGAGTCGTGGCGGGGGATGTCCTCCCAGAGAACAGGTTCCGCCGCGTAGCACCCGAAGTCCGTAGTAGCCTGTAGTGTCTGTTCGATCCCACCAACCTCGAGGAGTGCCACCGTAGAAGTCGTAGGCGTAGGTTCCGTTGTCGGAAAGGCTGTAGCGCAGGCCAAGGACAGAGAAGAAAGCGACCAGGTCAAAAAGGCACTCGCCCGGGAAGCATTTCTCCATAGGCTTTTCCGCATACTCTTCTTGGGCCGGGATGAAGAAGAGGAAGTAGTTGGAGGTGGAACTGCATTCACACTCCTGTCTTCAGAAAGTTGCGTAGTCCCCCGCGCGGCTTGTTGATCGACGATCATTTTTCGGTCACGAGAAAGGTGTCGTAGATCATGAAGAGGGAAACCCCATAGTCGAAGTTGCCTGCGTTCTCCTTGGGTACTCCCGGCGAAGCCACGGGTGGAGAAAGCCGTCACAGACCATCTGTTCCCACCGGCCCAATCTTGTGCTGAATGGAGGCGTTCCGGAACAAAGGACACCACGTTGCCGGTAGCACACTGCACCTTGCCCTTGATCTCGCGCTCCTTGGGGTCGAGCATAACCTCATCACCCTTCACGTGCCCATTCTCCTGCCATAGGCCTCCACCATGAGAGAAGTTGCCCCCGCAGGTGAGGTAGTTGAGCGTGCCCTTGAGGTTGTTGAAGTCCGCGTGGACGTGTGGTACACAGTTAAACGCAATCGACAAGGAGGACCACTTTGCATCCGGTTGTTTTGCGAGGAAGTACTCCTTGAGGTAGAGACACAGGGATGCGTACTTCGAAGTATTGGCACATATCCCGCGCATGTTCCCGTAGGTGTAGTAGCCGAGGGATAATCTGAAGTTGCCAGTGTCGTTCATCCCCATGGCCTTTCTTCTAGCTCGTGCTCCCCGGAGTGGAAAGTCCTCGCCGTTCCTGCCGAAGGTAGCCTCCAAGATGGCGGTGAGGGTGGCCGTCGAGAAATCCTTGTGGAGGATCGCGTCGGAGAGCATCTTCTCGACGTTCTCGGAAAGGAGCACGTAGGAGTCCTGGTTCTCGCCGGTGAGCTCGTCCCACACTTCCTCGTCATCCTCATCTTCCGCGTGGTAGGCAAACACAGCATCCTCGAAGTCCTCGGTCGTCTCACCCCCGGTCGGCTCCTCATCGTCCTTCGTAACTGAGGGCCTACCTGGTCTTTGAGCACAGCCAAGCGTTGTTCCAGCGCCTGGATCTCCTCCAGAACTTGGGCCGGCGGGTCCACATGCATCCTTTCCTTGGTGGCGTTCTTCTCCGCATTGCGCTTCGCCGTAGAGGCCTTCGCCGGGGCCGGGGACGCCGAACTTGTAGGAGTCAAGGGCCTCTGGTCTTTGTCCACGTAGCTCATCGCCGACACCTCTTCCCAGGACCGGGACGACGACGCTCCCGGGTAGGGGATCTTGGCATAGCGCTCGGGGTCCTCCATCATCTCTCGGCGGGAGGGTCCCGTCTTCGTCTCCTTCTCTTCCGTCTTCCGGCGGAACCACAACACGAAGCGCTTGAGGTCTGGACTCATGTTGATCCCGTTCTCGCGTTCCTCGCGGGAGGCCCATTCCCCATACTGGCGGGGAATCTGGTAGTACGCACTTCCCTTGTAGCGGCCGATCTGCATGATGGTATTGTCCGGCGTCTCGTGATAGTCCCTGATGTGACGCATCAACGTTCCCCTCGTCACCTTGGAGTCGTAGGCCACGCCGATGCGGTCCGCTTCCATCTTCAAGTCGGCGAGTTTCATCCCTGACATCCCTTTTGGCACTCCCTTCTCCTCCTTGTCGATCGCGCGGCTCTCGGTGATCGCGCTCCGCAGCTCCTCCACAGTCCAAGAACTCATTGGGTTCAGGTTGAGGCGAGTCGCTTCGGACAGGAGCTGGGCTTTCGTCATTTGCCATGTTGGGCGAGACGACATTACCAGAGAGGCCGGGAGGAGTTCGAATTGGGGCAATCGGTCTACGATTGAACACTGTCCGGCCGATCCACAAGCACTGGTGACAGTTCTTTGCCTCGACAGGAATCGTGTTCCAGAAGTCAACTGCAAGAGGAAGACCACGCTGAGATCGACAACTGACACTGAAAGTTTCCCTCACGCTACCGAGCACCTTCAGGAGATTGTCTCGTAGTAGGGACTGCTGAGTGTTCCAGTTCATCGGGCTGAACAGTGATTTTCGAGGGGTAACATGGATGCGTATCAGGGAACATCGAGTCTCTATCCAGAAATCTGAGGAAATACGAGTTTGGTTCCACCACTTCACGAAGTTCTCTACAGACAGGTTCTCACTGACAAGGAGGTTCTTGATTTCGGGAGGGATCTTCTTGGCATAAAATATCTGAGGAAATTGTTCTTGAGGAGGTCGGCTTTCATGTAGGGCATTAGCTGCTACGAAGACTTCACAATGACCCGTTCCCCCACTGCACTCCGCCATATATGCTGCCGAATCAGGAAGGATCTGTACTTCGCCACGGGCGCACTTATTGGCGTCCCACATCTTGGGCTGAGCCGCTGCAGGAATGCCCTGACCTCCAGGATGAACGCTTATAGCCGGATGTCCTGTGGGAGTCGAGAGCAAGGGGTAACCGCAGACCTTTACAGCCTCGAAGTCCGCCTTGTGCTCCTTTAGGTTGTAGACCATTCCTAGTTCGGCCAAAACGGAACGGCTCAATAATAGAGGAAGATCGCCATGAATGATTGCCACCTTCACGAGCACCCAAGCTGAACCAACCTTAAACGAGACCACAATGGCATAGTTGGAAGAGTAGATCCTTGAAGCCCCAAATCTGAAGTTGTCAGACTCCCCGAGCAATGGGACCTCGATATTGAACGCCTTAAGAACCTCCACATACCGCTGCAACCATGAAGTCCCTGCCACGGATTTCGTGCACGCGCTGTCGGTGATAGCCAGGAGGTTCTCGCTCAGCGGCCCGCTCGTCATGAAAACCTCGTTGGAGATGTTGGCGGTTTGGGGTTTACCAGGTTCAGGGTTTCCTTTAGGCTTGCCATTGGGAGGTCCAGGGCATTCAGGATCTTTGTACCAGTGACCGCGCTGCTTGCAGACACTGCAAAAGGATCGTTGTTTGGCACTCAGGATCTTATTCTCGATAGCCCTTTTCACTTCTTCCGGCTCCAGGTTGCGACCCTTGACCGCATCACGGTATTGAGCCTTCGCCGTCATGAACGCCTCGTAGAGCTCCGCCTCCTCTGGATTCATGGGTCCATCGTCGTCCAAGTTCCCGTCGTCGTCCCCCGTCTCCTCCGGGATGGGCTCGGCGTTGTTAGCGGAGTTCACCTTCAAGTTGTTCTTGGCGCGATCCCAGGGCTTGGGGTGGTCCTTGTCCCAGGGGCGCCGAAGACTCTTCTCGTGAAGGACGGCCGCTCTTTGGAGCTTTGTGCAAACGAACTCATTGTTCACGCTCCCGAGAATCGCCAGCTCCTCAGAGTGCGACAAAGAGAGTGCGCTCAGGTAAGCCCAAGCGCGAGCAGTTTCAGGAAGCTTACATTCAATCTCCACCAGTCTCGCGTATGCCCGATCGAAGGTGGCATTGAACTCTCTCACGGACTGGTTGGGTCCGCGTCGGAGCTTCTTGAAGAAACCGTTGAGGGCCTCGGCAATCTTGCCGACTTCGATCTCTTGGTAGCGCTCGGCGATCCACGCCTTGAAGCGCTCCACCCCATCAGGTACACAGAGCTCGGCGACCTCGAGCTCCTCTGCTTCGATCCATGCGCGCCCCTTGAGATTCTGGTAGAGGAGGAGGGCCTGTTGCGCGCAAGGGGTCCTGGTTACACGGACCCACGCTTCAATCTGTCTGATGTAGCTCCGTGCTGACTGGCCAAGCTCATCTCCGCTGTTCTCGGCCGAGAAAGAAGGCACCGACATCCGCTCGCTCAGAGCACCGCGGCGCTCCCCATCATCAGAAGTGGCACGGAGTGATTCCCCTCGGAAGACGGCTGGCGCGATTGCCATGCCTCCCCAGGAATGGCGTTGCGACTCCATTCGGCCTCCCACGGGCCGTTCGAGGTATTGGCCGAGGTAGCTCGGGTCCATTCAGTCTCCCAGGGGCCGCTCGAGGTATTCGCTGAGTTCGAATGGTTCCACTCGGCCTCCCAGGGGCTGCCGGAAGCATTTGCCGAAGTAGAGCGGGTCCACGAGGTCTCCCATCCATTTCCGTCCCCAGGGGAAACGGCGTGATTCCCGGACCAGGCGTGTCCATGGTGGTAGCCGGAGTTCCAGCCCGAGGACCATGAAGTCGCCCACGTAGGTTGTCCTGGCCATGTGCCATTCCAAGCATGCTTCGTAGGATCGTAGGCTTGCCACTGTGGGTGTCCTTTCCACTCACACTTCTCCTCCGGCGGCGCGCCGGGAGGAAGAGGCTCATCGTAGGCATCGTCCCTGCTGTCCGCAGGGTTCCCCTTTGCATTCGGGACATCGTCGCCCGAATGCTTCCCCTTTCGCCAAGCACGGCGGGATCCGCCGCCGTCGTCACCGTGTCCATCGGGAGAATCAACGTCGCCGGGAGGATGAGCAGCCCGGGCAGCATCTGCCCAGGGATCTAGCGGCGCAGCCGCGCCATCATCATCGCGAAGTCCGTCGCCAGGCGAGGAAGACATCAAGGAGCCCTAAGGGCTCCGCTACCAATCTAAGACTACGGCAGCAGAGGAAGCACTTTTTCCCCAGTGCAACAGCGAAATCACATGAGCCTCCAGTGCGAGCGAGGAGCGAAACAATGTAACATATGCACTGACGGCCGGAACATCCTTCTCTCTTAGGAAAGACGCCTGTGCGGAGGCCTAACAGCGCTCTTCAGATTTACAATAACTCTACAAAACCCTAGTCGAACTATGAACTCCCCGACATTACACCCTAAAACCCAAAACCTGAGTCTAATCATTGAGGCCCCACATTGTACGGTTTAGGGTTTAGGGATTAGGGTTTAGGGTTTAGGCCCCACATTGCACCGTCAATCCTCAAGACTCATCAGACTGAGCATCTAGATTGTCGGCCTCCTTGGGCTTAGGGTTTGGGGGGTTTTAGGGGCTTTAAGCACTGCTTCGCCTACTTGTCGGGTATCATAGGGACCTAAAGGTTAACCTTTTTGGTTACATAGGGATTATATAGAGGGACTATAGGGCTTTAAGCACTATACTGAACTTAGAACCCTAGCAACAATTATGATTTTAGCTGTTTCTTAGGGATTATAATAACCAAAAATTTAAAATGTATTTCTAAGTACCCCTAAGAGCACTGCTTCTTGTGCTTCTCCAGCTTCAACCCAGGGTGCTCTTGTTAAGCCGCGATCCCCCACCACCGGGCCCCTCGAAAACAGAACAGAAGGTAGCCTACTAATCCATCGAAGAACACGAAGCCCTCAGAAAAACCGAAAATCGCAGAGTGAGACCTAAACCCTAAACCCTAACCTAAACTCTAACATCCTAAACCCTAAAAATTGCGGAGAACGTGGCACAGATGAGACCTAAACCCTAAACCCTAAACTCTAAAACCCTAAGCCCTAGCAATTGCGGAGAACGTGGCAAAGTTGAGACACCAATGATCATGACCATGGCAGCAGACAGCAAGCTGATCTCGATCCTGCTGGCCCGAAACTCCACGGCGTCGGGCTTCCCAGACCCCCGGGGAGGATCCAAAAAGTAGATCCCTTGATGGGGGTCCCTATAAGGTATCCTTAGTAGTATGGGGCCCAAATTAGGGGATCTACTTTCTAGATCCTCCCGGGGGTCTGGCATTTGCTTTGGGTTTAGGGATTTCGGGCTTGGGGTTTAGGAGCTTAGGGTTTATGTTTTTTGGGTGTTGGGATTTAGGGTTTAAGGCTTAGGGCGTTTATGGGGGGGGTAGAGTTTAGATTTAGGGGTAGGGCTTAGGGCTTTGTATAGGTATAGGATTTAAGTTAACTTAACATTGAGACGTCACGTGGTATCTGTATCTCATGCTTGCCCGGGTTTATGGTTAAGGCCTCGTGAAGCCCCAACAAGCCTTTCAAAGACTAATCGTGGCTGACTTCTGAAGCCCTCCAAAAAGTTAAACTTTTAGCTTCCTTATTATAGTTCATATAGAAGCCCAAAAAGTTAAAGTCCTAAGAGTCTACCAGAAGAACGCCAAGTAATGAGTGGGGGCTCCATGGTTCATCCGAAGTCTGGGTTTCAAAAGAGCTGCTGATCGAGGTATTGTGCTTCTGTTGGTGGCCGGCTTTAGGGTTTGGTGGGTTTAGGGTTTAGGGTTCAGGGTTCAGGGTTTAGGGTTTAGGGTGTAGGGTTTAGGGTTTAGGGTTTAGGGTTTAGGGTAACATTTACCCAAAGAGACGAAGTAGGCGCCTCCATGGTTAGAACATGGTTCTGGGCTTCTTCATCGGATAATCGTAGTAAGGAACCCTAAAGAATAGTATTTAAAGAATAATATCGGTAATTCTCCAGGCTTCGATATTCCGTTGTACGAATGATGGGAGGCCAAAAGGGTGGTTTAAGATTCTGGGGCTAGGGAATCCTTAATATGAACCATACTATGGGAACCCTAATCCCTACTAAACCCCCATAGGCTAGACCCCCTTTTGGCCTCCTATGAACGAAGGTCAGGCGGAACTGTACATGCCCTCGCCTATAAACTCAGTCAAGCACAAGCCATAAAAAAAAGAGCACCAAGCAACATGTAGATGAAGCTGTTGAAGGAACTCTCTGTCCCTTCGAACAAGGTAGGGCTTGGGGTTCAGGCTGTCGATACTTTGCATTTACGTGCTCTTCCGGTCTCCCCAGGGACTCCACTATCCCTTACAGTAGAAGCCAGAAAGTTGGGATATCATTATCCTAACCCTTCTATGGTAAATTATAGGGTATCCTACCATGAAACCATATTCCAACTTTCTGGAGTTCCCTTTAATTGCGGCGCTCCAGTTCCACTCGGAGTTGTGGTAAGGATGGCAGCGGCAGTACAGCAACTGCGCCCCCAGAACCACCGCGCCTGCAGCTTCCGCGCTCTAGGGCATTACTTTAAGGGGATCCTTAAATGGGGTCTACAAGGGATCCAGAATAGGGTTCTAACATATCTGGGCTTTGATAAGTAGAATAGGGTTTACGGGCCCATAGAATTACAAGTATGATAAGGAACCCCAAAATAGTATAGGTAGTTATTACGGCGCCTATATTAGGTTGCTTCAATCATGCTACGGTATGTACAGCTTCATACATTACACTGCTAATTACTGCAAATTACAGGGTTCTGCAAAATATGGGTCGGGCATGTAGGTATTATCGACGAGGACCCCGCCATTCAAGGTCTTGTTCAGGGTGACTCTTTCCTAAAACTCCAAGAAACACACAAGGAGGCTGGTCAAGGCGCCGTCCGGAAACTGTCTTATTGCTAATATAAACTAAGTATGATAATTATCAATCAACTCCCCATGTTTGTGTGCTGCAGCGGAGGCCGGAAGTCGAGGTCTAAAGCCCCGCCCCTATACTTTTAGGGTTCAGGGTTCAGGGTTTAGGGTTCAGGGTTTAGGGTTTAGGGTTCAGGGTTCAGGGTTTAGGGTTCAGGGTTTAGGGCTTAGGGTTCAGGGTGTCGAGCCTGAGGGACTTCAAGAGTTCAGGGTTATTCTAGAGTGTAACGGACATTTGATGTCTCACAAGCCCGCCCTTCTGGGCGTGCACTCCAAAGTACAAACCCTCCCTCAGCAATGAGGCCACCCTCTAGCAGGGTTCAGGGTTTAGGGTTCAGGGTTTAGGGTTTGGTGTTTTTTTAAAGTAAGGTTTAAGGTTTAGGGCTTAGGGTCGGGGTAAAGCGTACGGGCTTCAGGGTCCAGGAGTTCCGGGTTCAGAAAGTTTCGAAGAGTTCCAGAGATTGGGATGCTCCTCAGACGAGTTTGCTACCTGGACCTCAAATCGCCTACCTTTTCAAGGACCTACAGAAGGAAACCATAGTAGGGAACCCGAAAAAGGGAGGTTTTATTATGGGGTCCAGGTAGGGTTTAGAGTTTCGGGTTAAGGGATTCGGGTTGAGAATTTCGGGCTTTGCGATCAGTGTTACAGAGGAGCCCGAATACTGAATGTGGGTTCTGGGTGGGGCAGCATAGAACTGCAAAATTATGATCAGGACCCCCAGGCACCGGCGCCTGTATTTAGAGCTCATTGAGTGAGGGGTTTAGGGGCTTACCCTAAGGCTCCCAAAGGGGTCATGGGCTTTCTGGGGATTGGTTTGGGCTTTGGGGGGCCAAGGTTTGGGATCTCAACGAGGGTCCGGGAGCCTTGGGGTAGGCGTTTAAGCTTGTGTGCTTGGATGGGGCTTCTGTGCACCCCACTTGGAGGGTCGGGGGACTTAGTAACTGGTTATTTTAAGGACTTATAAGTACCATAACCCCAATCAGGGTCCCTTTTAGGGTACTTATAAGTCTACTTACTACCTACTAAGTCCCCCGACCCTCCAAGCAACGTCGGGGTCTTGGTCATGCTGCACATAAACACCAAGACTCGCAACAAAACCGGCAGGGTTGAAGCCTTGATCAGGCTCTCAACCCTACGTGTGCCAAAACCAGAGCCGTCCTTGAACCTTTGAAAAAAAGCAAACCAAGCCAACACAGGCCGAAACCTTATCTATGAAAAGCCCTAGCCCGAAAGAGAAGGAGTTTTGTGGTTCAAGATTTCGGAAGATGTCGGGCGTCCTTGCATTACTCTGTTCCGACCCTGCTGCGCCAGCTGCCTAGGCATCACATTTTCTCCAAATCTGCTTCTTAAATCTACTATAGGGGCCTTAATAGTTAGAATAGGTTCTGGGGCCCATGATACAGGTAATTATTCAAGCCCCTATATTGGCCCAGCCCGTCTATGATTTGCATGCTTTCGGGGCCTAAATGACTACCACTACTATAATTTGAGTAGGGTTTGGGGGTATACTTGACTGTAGTTATAATGAGGAACCTCCACAATACGATTCTCGAGGAATCTTGGTTACAGCTTATAGTATACCCCAACATCCCGAAACCCCGTTTACAGCACCAGTTATCAGGTACTGCAAGGGACGAGCATCAAGGCGCGAATTATGACAGGACTTGTACTTCCTAGTTACGGGGCTGGCACTGGACCCAAGGTACGGTTGATGATATAAATCCTGCATTACCCATAATAAGGAAGATACCATAATTCCCATAGTTTAGGGTCTTTAAGGTAATGCAGAATTTATATCATCAACAGTAGCTACGGGGCTGGCACTGGTCTCAAGGTATGCTGCCTAGACATCCAATCTGCAACGCCGAAGCGGATTCGATCGGCAAGCAGGCGCCGATGAAGGTGATAAGCGTCTTCCTGCACCCAGAAAGCCCTTATTCCCCTTAATTAAGGAAGATGGCTCAAATTATATAGGGCTTCATATCATGATTTAAACCATATTCCCTAATTAAGGGGTATTGGGCTCTCTGGGCACTTGGGGCACCGGGATTCAAGGCTTCATACAATAATGCTAAGAACTGTCTTAACCCTGAAGAACCTACCTATTTGAGGACTTATATAAGGAAATCATAATAGGGAACCCTAAAAAGGTAGGTTATTCAGGGTTAAGGTAATGACAGCAAAAAATGTCTTCATCATAATGAGAGGAAGAAAAACACCTACATGACTCGAGCAAGACTTTTGCATGTGATCAGGTCGATGCAGCATGCAGCAGAGTGACGGGAGTTCGGCTACGTCATGCTCAAGTCCAAGTCCCAACGCATGCAAGGTTCGCAGCAGAGAAATCAGTTGTCCGAGATATTGAGGCTTCTACATAACCGGGAGGTTGTTCAGGAAGACAATTCCAAGTTACCATAATACGGAAACTCAAGTTGAGTTAAGCTCATAAACAAGAATCAACAGACAACATGGGTGGCAAGCCGGGCTTTGCGGCTTAGGGTTTAGCCGCTTAGCCCAAAGTTCAGTGTGGAAGTATAGGTATCTACCAGAGAGGGATTTAGAGATACGTTGCGTTTGAAGAATGTGGGCCTGACACAAGAAGAACCTAACCAGTACTGGCTCTTGGGGCTCGTATGTGAGCAATCTCAATGTCCATAAGACCTCAGTGCGCTGAAGGTTCTCACTATACAGAACTTAGACCCCTAGCAGCAAATTTCAAAATTTTCGCGGTTTCTCAAGAATATAGGAACCCAAAAAAAATTCAAAAAGAAATCTAAGTACCCCTTAGGAAACCTCCACAACGTCATTAGATCACCCGCTCCTGGCCAGGCGCTCCATCTCAAAAAGCGCGAACTCTGGTCGATACCTGGGTTCTAGATAGGGCTGCTTTGAGCAGGCTTTCTGCAGTTTTATGCAGCTTGACTTATGGGGGTTCACGACAGAGTTTTCTTCGGTGTAAAAAGCCGGAAAAGAAAGAGAGCGTTTAAAAAGCAGATGGTTCTATAGGTGTGTTATATCCTCTGAAAAGCCGAGAAAGAGAGCGTCTCAAGCCCGGATGCTTGCGGAAAGTCCCTAAACCCGAAACCCTAAACCCTTAATAGAACCCTTATAGATCCCGTTAAAGGAACCCTTATTGTAACCCGTTAAAGGAACCCTTATAGTAACCCTTTAAAGGAAGCACGCAAGGGTCCCCTCTTTTAGGAAATCCGGATGCTTGCTGGTCAGGAAGACCACATGGCTGGGCAAGGGATCCTGCAATGACTTACTTGGAGGATCATGGGACGGAGGGATCTATAGGGTTCCTTAAGGGGATCTATAGGGTTTAGGGTTTAGGGTCTACTTGGAGGATCATGGGGCTTAGTCAGTTTAGGGTTTAAGGTTCAGGGTGTAGGGTTTCAAATTTAGGGTTTCGGGTTTAAGGTGGTTGTTTCAGAGGATCTCACGTGGTCTCAGTCCATGGGCCTTTGTTGGGGCTTTGTTTGGACTTTTGGGATCGGGGGCTCCGTGTGCTGATCCTGGTGCTTACAGTAAACTTCAGGGTTTAGGGTTTAGGGTTTACGGTTTAGGGTTTAGGGTTAGGGTTTAGGGTTGGAAACCGGATTAAGGCCAAATAGTGCTGGGATTCCCTATACATTACTCTTAAGGGTTGAGGCTATGAGGTTTCCAACTTTTGGGCTTCTACTGTAGTTGTTTCGGCTTTGAGTTGTGCACCTAAACCCCACCATCCCTCAAACCCCTGAACCATTTGGGTGGTTGTCAAAATTATGGCCCACTTTTGGGGGACCCGAAATAGTAGGTGCCGTATTCTAAATACGGACCCCCAAAAGGGACCCTAATATTGACAACCACCCATATATCCAAGGGTAAAAGGAGGGACCCTTAATAGCTATGATATACCCATTATACAGCCCATTATAGGGTAGGGGTCCCCATTAAGGTAAAGGAACCCTAAACCCTAAACCCCTAAGGACCCCTTACAGGAACTGTAAAGATCCCTTTAAAGGAACCCTAAGAGCCCTAAATTAAGGGTCCCTCCTTTTCCCCTTAGGCGCGCCCATGGAGCTTGAGGATCTCGGGCTTCGGGGCTTCGAGTTTAAAGTTTCTTCTTCAACAACCGGGCCCCCCCCCCAAAAAAAAAAAAAAGTTCAAACCTTCGGTCCCCCAAAAGTTCAAACTTTTCTAAGGTAGGGCTAATATGTAGAGCCAGAAAGCTTAAAGTTCCCCCGCCCACTATCTAAGTGGGGTTTTTTTATCATGGCACGGATCCTCTTTTAAGAACACCCGTCAAGGTCGTCTAGAGCCCTTGAACAGAAATTTACTACATCAATTGAGGGAGTCCCGAAAGGGACTCGTACACTGGATGGAACCTTTTGGTATTGGTAGTTCTCTGAATTCGGGTTCCCCTTTGGGTCCCCAAAAGAGTACGGCGGCCTCATAGAAAGGACCCAAGATAGGACAACAATTTGGAGAAGTACCCCATGTACCAGGATCCCCGAACAAAAAAGGCATGCTGAAGTCTGCACTCAGTCTGAACTGCACGCTAAATTCTGAACCCTGAACCCTCCGCGGACCTCTTCTGACCTGGAGAGGCTCAGCCTCAGGCTTTGGCGAAACTTTCCCCCCTGAAAAACAAGTAGGCTAACGAATGGGGTTCTGAAGGTGTCTAAGGTGAGGGGTTTGGGGTTGTAGGGCTTTGCTTGGGCGGTTGGGGTTTAGGGCCATTTCGGGTAGCGTAGACAACTGAACCCCTGCCTTACTAAGGGCTATAGTTAGGGTACCAGCACAGTATTCAGGCCGTCTCAGAAAAGATTTATGCATCAAGGGTCTACATGATCCGCCTGAAACTGAACAATGGTACGCTTATAGGTTTCTGTCCATGAGCAATATGGTCGAGGGTCAATGGCGGGGGCCCCCAAACCCTAACCTGCAAACCCCAAAAAAGAAACTCTAAACTTCATAACCCGCAAACCATAAACCCGAACCATTTCAGCAGTTTCGCGTGGAGATCTGCAGGTGCACAAAAGCTTGGAAAGACCAAAGTATCTCTACGAATCTTAAGTCTCCTAAGAAGACATACCAAACGATTTGTTCAATTCATGCTCCTTTTGTGCTGGTACGTACGCTACGTACTCTGTGTATAAACTACGCCGAAAACCTCCGTGACGTGTGTGATCTAAGCTCCACCACCCAGAAACAACCCCACAACAAACTTGCTGTAGCTTCAATCCACCCGTTGCGTGCCTCACAAGACTGGCGGACAGTGACAAGAGCCGCATAAGAAACGAAGAAGTGCTGAACAAAAAATCGCATGCCGACATGACTAAGAGCTACATAGGGCTTCCAGGCTTTGGGGGGCTTCTAGATTGCGACTTCGTTCTTCAGGGCTTTAGGTATTAAGAAAAAGCTCTTACCGGAAGTTAAAGGGTTCTTGCTGAGCGCAAAAACGGCCAAGGGACCACGTCCAAAAGGCAGCGCCCATGAGTAGGATGAAACCCACAAGCACCTCCGGCTTTCACAGAAGAAGACGGGTTCGTACGGAATCCCCAAAAAGATTTGGTAACGATTTAGACCCGCGAGAGAACAAAGCAAACTTAGCAGGAGATGCAGCAAGGAGGCACAAGTCGCCGAGCCTGCTCACGGTGTACAATCCTGGAGCAACTGAACCCTAAACCCTAAACCGAACCCTAAATCTAGCCCAAACAGACGGTCACCTCCCAGACCCTCCAGGCCGTGTTGAGCAAGATAAGCCACGTGATTTTCCTCGAAAACATGTAAGATAAACTTGAACCCTAAACCCTAAACCCGAAGACCTGTAAGATAAGCTTGAACACAGAACCCTCAAAACCTCAATGTTGCAGGATTAGGAGGCTCAGGGTCCCCTAAGTTTTAAAGATACTATGGGTTCTTACAAAGCCCTAAGCCCTAAACCCTAAACCCTAAACCCCTAAACGACCCACAGAGCCTGCATCGCACCGACGAGCGCATAATTTCCTGGGCTTTTAAGTAACCCAGGAGAAAAAAGTAGAAACTTTCATTTTATAAGGGTTCCTTTAAGAAAAAAAGTATTAAAGTATGGTACTTCAAAGCCCAGTTTCCCGGAAGGAAGGGGCAGACCAGCTCCTTTCGCTCCACACGGTAGCCTGGAGGTTGGTGGTGTACTCTTCATGCGTAGGGTTGGTATGGGGCTTAGGGTCTATAAGGTGTTGGCTTTGGGAATTCCCGGAATTCGGGGACCTTCCTTAGATTGACGCCAGGCATAGTGATTACCCCTACTCCCCGGGACCTTGACACTCAACCTTTGACAGATTAGGGTTCAGAGCACGAGTTTTTCGGCAACCCAGGACACCACGGATCTCTATTACCGAAGCAGCCGATCGGGAAAAGCTGAACCCTGGACCCTAAACCCTAAACCCTAAACCCTAAACCCTAAACCCTAAAACCTGAAACGCTCGAAACCCCAAACTCCGATTCCTTGAACCCCAACGCCTTGGACATCCTTGGACCCTCAAGGCACCCTAAACCCTAAACCCTTGCTACTATTTGCTTAAGAAACCCCCAAAAAATAAAAATGCAAATCCCTATATTACCCCCATATGGAATATATTTTTTATTTTTTGGTGGTTCTTAAGCAAATAGTAGCTTGTTCCCAAAGACCTTCGACCCCCAGACCCCCCTTACCCTTCAACCCAAAAACCTCCGCGACCCTCCAACTTTCATCCGAGGGTTTTAGGGTTCTCGGGTTAGTGTCCTGGATCCCTAGACCTACACACGGTTCCCGACGATTCTTGGTGGACTTAGGGTTCAAGGTTCGGGATGGGAAATTCAACTGTTAGGGTCTGCATTATAGCTTGCCAGGTGGGTCAGTAGCAGTAGCAGTAGCAGTAGTAGTGTAGTAGTCGTAGTTGTAGTCGTAGTTGTAGTCGTAGTAGTAGTTGTAGTAGTAGTAGTTGTGGTAGTAGTAGTAGTAGTAGCAGTAGTAGTAGTAGTAGTAGTAGTAGTAGTAGTAGTTGTAGTAGTAGTAGTAGTAGTCGTCGTAGCAGTAGCAGTAGCAGTAGCAGTAGCAGTAGCAGTAGCAGTAGCAGTAGCAGTAGCAGTAGCAGTAGCAGTAGCAGTAGCAGTAGCAGTAGCAGTAGCAGTAGCAGTAGCAGTAGCAGTAGCAGTAGCAGTAGCAGTAGCAGTAGTAGCAGTAGCAGTAGCAGTAGTAGCAGTAGCAGTAGCAGTAGCAGTAGCAGTAGCAGTAGCACTAGGAGTAGGAGTAGCACTAGCAGTAGCAGTAGCAGTAGGAGTAGGAGTAGGAGTAGGAGTAGGAGTAGGAGTAGGAGTAGGAGTAGGAGTAGGAGTAGGAGTAGGAGTAGGAGTAGGAGTAGGAGTAGGAGGAGTAGTAGTAGTAGTAGTAATAGTAATCGTACTATTGTTAGATATGTTAGAGAGCCCGCAGGAAGATAGAGCTGTGAGCTTCCGAAAGTTCACTGGGACCCGGTGCTATACCCGAAGCCCAAAAGCCTCTGTAGAATACCCGTTGCAATACCATAGTATACCATCATATACTCCGACATGCTGTAATACGCTATAAAGTTATCATAATACACTGCAAGGTGCCAGAATTTTAGGGTTTAGGGTTTAGGGTCAAGCCTTGCAGCAAAGGCCTTCGGTGGATCTACAGTGGCATGCTTTGCGACTGGGCCCCGGGCACACCAGGTACTTGCCGAAGTCGGCAGCAATAGTAGGCAGAAAGCAATTTATGCCTGGCATGGCTTCGCAATGTCTTGACTGCTTATGTGCAAAGGCCAGAAACCCAATTCCAGGAATTTCAGGCTACTGAAAGTTATTCATCAGCACCAAACGCATAACACCCTTAGTGTAAAGAACTTAACGTACTGAATCACGAGCACAGCGGCACATACCTTACCTCCAATAGCTCAGGTTACTTAAATACGGACGGTAATGTGAGACCTAGGGACCGGTAATGTGAGACCTAGGGACACACAAAAACAAATAATTGCCAAAAAAAGTCCACTTTTGAGTTCACAGCACCTATATCACTCCCTTGAGAACTGTGAAACTCATCTAATCCCCTATAGAACCTTTCAAGCCTATGTATAACCCACCAATACTGGAGGCCTCAACAGGTGGGATGAAGTTAGGATTAGGGATCCCTGATTCTGGGATTACCCCACCCACCTTGGAGCCCTTTGATAATAGAGCCCATAAAGAATGGGACCCTAAACCCCCAGCTGCCCAGAGACTCCAATGAAACAATATACCTTAACCTGAAATGAACACCCCCTGCGGTTGAGGGGTTTGTTAAAGGTTTCGGGTTCAGGGGCTTAGGTATATGCCTTCAGGGGCCTTCTGGGTGAGCGAAGGCGTTTTGCAGCAAGCTCCGCGGGCTTCTGAGTGACTTTCCTGAGTTGTCCTTTAAGCCCTTTGAAAATTGTTTACAATTATGGTTCTCTACCTCTCTTCTTCAACAACCGGGCCCCAAAAAGTTCAAACTTTCTAAGATAGAGCCAATATAGAAAGCCCAAAAGTTTAAAGTTCTCCCGTTCATTATCTAAGCTACAAAGTAGTAGGGGAAAATAAAAACGATCCCAAAGGACAACCCAGTTTCTCAATTTGGGGACTCAGGAGCTTAAGTGCTTCCTGGGCTTGGGAGGGGTTTGTCGGCTTCATAAGGGAACCTTCGGAAAATTAGGGGGTACCTTGTCTTGGGGTCCTGATAAGAAGGATCCCACTATTGAGGCTACTATAGTAGGATCCCTCATTTTCGGAAACTCCCATAAAGGCATTTTGATCCTTCGAAGTTTAAACCGGTGATCGCAGGGGTTTGGCACGACCTGCACAGAGGTATCATCGGTTTGGGGCTGACGCTTTAGGGTTAATGGTTTAGGGTTCGGAGTTCTCCCACCTGCGATCAGCGCAGCGCGGAAATCCTTCACCAAGGACAGTGAGCCCATGAGCACCGCGGCCACAACCTTTAACGTGAGTAGCGGCATTAGGAAGGACCTAGAAACTCCTTAAAGTGCGTCGATGTCCCTGGTTCAGGTCCTAAACCCTAAACCCGACGGTTTAGGGCTTAGGGAGGTCCCTGGCTGCGAGAATTATGAGGGATGTCCCTGGTCTAACGGGAGGGTCACGTCGCGACCTTGAGTTGGCTTCCCATCCTGGAACTTCTAGTACTGCGGCTCCCATGCAGTCAGGTAATGTAGGGCCTGGGGTTTAGGGTTTAGGGTTTAGGGTTTAGGGTTTCCTGAATAATAACAATAGGATGTTGGGCCCCGATATACTGCAATTATGACAAGCAACCCCCCAAAGTAGTATAGGCAACTATTTAGGCCTCTAAAAGGATAGGGATTTGGGCCCAAGATACTGTAATTATAATAAGCAACCCCCAAAGTAGTATAGGCAACTATTAAGGTCTCTATGTCAGTGGTGCAGCCGTGCGACGATGTCCAGCAGATGGCAGCCCCATCTGAGCAGCAAATCGCGCACGACAGCATAATCGGTTTAGGGTTTAGGGTCGTAATCTTAAGTTGCCGAAACCGTCTACTCTTCATCCGAGGACATCTTGAAGCCTAAAACCCGAAGCTTCAAACCCTAAACCCTACACCCTGCAGGCAAAGACTATTGGGGGCCTTTATAATTAGAGTAGGGTTTTGGGGCCCATTATACCATAATCATAATTAGTAAGAAACCCCCAGACCAGTATAAGTAATAATTTAGGGCCCTATATTGATCGAAATGATGATGGATGCCGCGAAGCCACATGGTCTTCTCGTAGCCGATATAGGACAACAGGCATTGCGAGGAGGCGCTGAGCAAGGATCCTAGGGGTTTGTGTTTAGGGCTTACGGGATTTAGGGTTTAGGGTCCGGAAACAGAATCGTTGGCTTGGGCCGTTCTGAACTGGAGTAAACCCTGACTCCTGATCCCACCTCAAACCTGACACCTATACCCTGGCCCTCAACCGCCCCAAACCCTGAATCCTGAACATTAAACCGGCTAGGCTATTCGGGACTGTTGGGAATCCTAGCCGCGCACCTCATGTCTAGCATCGACACCTGCGAATTAACAGAGCTTATGGTTTGTATAAGTTAAGGTTTAGGGTTTAGGCAACCTCAAACCATCTCTTTTCCCCCTACCAAACTGCCAAATAAGTAGATGATCCGCACACCCCAAACCCTTAAACCCTCCATGTAATCCGAATGTCAAACACCCAGATCCCCCCCCAAGACTCCCCCAACAAAGTTGACCATGCCACCCTGAAGTCCCACTTTGCTGCGCATGGAGTGTCCTTGTCCGGAAGCGGTCTCGTCCATGGCTATGGTTGCATCGAAGAAGAAGTTTATCTTGGATGCACATGGCTGGTTGTCAAAACTAGGGCCCCCTTTTGGGTACCCTAAATCTTAGGTGCCGTACTATCATAGGGACCCAAAAAAAGGACCATAATTTTGACACCCACCCATATGGTGCTCAAATTCAGTGACCTTACATATCGGAATAGGTTTTTGGTGGTATATGATAGTATGTTTAAGGAGAATGAGGGACCCGAAGGAATACTGGTAGTCCCGACCTCGATGTTGCTTGTAACCGACTGCTGGAGTGCTGGACTGCATAGTGTAGGAGCCTTTTGAATAATTACCAATACTACCTTGGGGGTTGCCTAATATAGTTATAATATAATATCCCTCGAAACCCCATTGTTAAGGCCCTAAAGTCAGTACAGTAACGGACAGTTGGGAAACTCCGAAATGCACTCGTGGCGGCTGCTTGGCTCTTCACGCTCTTCGCCGTCTTCGTCTGCATAACAGCGGCCATGATCCTTAGTCTGTTTCTAAGGTTTAGGGTATCCTTCGTCTTTTTGTTCAAGGTTTAGGATATCCCTGAATACTCACCGGGCGGACCTAAGAATACAGAAACATACCTTTTTCGGCAGGTTTTGAAAACCCCTGAACCCTAAACCCCCAAACCCCCCCGATGTAAAATCCCCAAGCGGAAGTAAGGTTTTTCGGCGCGGGCGTGGTCCGTCAGGGAATGGCACCCAGAGACTCTTAAACCCCTTGATCAAGGAATATGCCTACCTTGAGAGATACTCTATCCATCTATCTGTCTTAATATTTTTTGACGTATGTATGTATATCACAACGTAGAATAGTTCAATTAAGTTTTTTGTGTTGTGAGAAGCGGAGCCCTCTCTAGCTTAAGGCAGTTCAAGGTGTACTATAGCTCAAGGCAGTTGAAGGTATATTCCTTAATGAAGGGGGTGGGAGTTACTGGGCCAGAACGTGGTTTAGGGTGTAGGGTTTAGGTGTCAGGGTTTGCTGGGCCAGTGTCGTGTTGGAGATGGTGGCGAAAGCCATCAGCTGGTTCAGGTAGATGCTGCTGTTCTTCAAATCGCCAGCCTTGGACATCAGGCTGGAAAGCCAAGGTGTAGGTTCTAATGTTGGGGCTTTAATAATTAGAATAAGGTATGGTGGTTCCTCATTATAAGTGTCGTACAGTATACCCCCAACTCTATTCTAATCATTAAGGCCCCTATGGTATCTTGGAGGCCTTGACCCCATCTGAAAGTGCCAAGCCGCTTTCTTGGCCAGAAGCGCACTGAATGCCCCGATTCCGAAGAGGATGGTACGCTGCGCCAGGAAAAGGATCCATTGGATCACCTGTCCAGAGAGCCCAATGCCCCTTAATTAGGGAATATGGCTTAAATTATATAGGGCTTCGGTGATCTAAGCCATATTCCTTAATTAAGGGGTATTGCGCTCTCTGGGTGCACTGGCACAGACTGGAACTTTCTGTCGCAACCCCTTCATGTAGGGGCCTTAACAATTAGAATAGGGCTTTGGGGCCCATTATACTATAATTATGAAAAGGAACCCCCAAAATACTGTTCGTAATTCTCAAGGCTCCTTCACCAGAGGTACAGTAATTGCCTAAAGCTTGGAGATCCACAGCTCAAACAGTCCAAGGTTGAAGGGCTTGAGGTTAAAGGCGTTGGGTTTCAAACCTACTTAAAGGATCATGGGACTTAGTAACTGGGGTTATAATCAGGGTAACTCTACTTATAACTAGTTAGAACCCCAATTAAGGTACTTATAACCTTACTTACTAAGTCCCAGGATCCTCCAAGTAGGGTCCATAGTGTGCGCGGACCTGAGGTGATGTCTGTCAGAACTACGTTGCAGGTGGCTTTTGGTGTGATTATGACGGACTGAATAGATAGAATGGCTTCTTCTTGGAGGGGGATCATACTTTAAGTGCAGTCACTCTGGACTATAAAGGACTACTATACTAGACTTTTAGCCTTAAGCCCTAAACCTAAAGCTTCAATGCACGACTGAACCCTGAATCCCTGAGCTCTTACATACAAAACACTAACACTAACAAAAGAATTCTGAACGTAGGGGACCTCGACAGTCAGACTGGAGTTTGGAGGGATATGTTATAGTAGGGGGTTTAGGGTTTAGGGTCCCCAGAGTAACCTAGAAATAAAAAGGGGTGCCCTTTTTGGTTTAAAGGGGCTTGTATGTGGACCTGAACCCTGAAAAGAGAATAAGGGCCTACTCTAGGTCCTAGTTTACCATAAGCATACAAAGATTAGACTTGTAAAGCACAAAAGATAACCAAATGGAACCGCAATAATGGCCCTTGTAGTAGCCCCATATAGACACCTGTATAGAACTCGTGAAGGGAACCCTGGCTTAGGGGTTTTTCTGGCTTAGGGGTGTTTAGACTCTGAACCCTAAACCCTAAACCCCAACTACCCTTTGTCGCAGAAGTTAAGTTCTTCTTCGTGCGGATCATAAGACGCCTGGAAAAGGTACTTAGGGCTTGCTCGCATTATTGTTCCTATTCTAGATTCTAAGGTCGTGTATTGCTGTTCGTGTTCTTGTTAAAAACGAATCTGGAGATAACGGGTCCCATCTACTCCAGCCGTAGTGGGTACGCCCGAAAATGTGCAGTATCACTATGATGCTTTTATCGCCGTTTGTCGTCTGCTAATTACAGCATTACGATGGTTCTTCGACTAGCACACTGGAAGTCTCATCGAGATCTGCGGCCTGAATCCGGCGAACGTCGCTACAGCCTTTGCCTCGGTTTTCCAGCAGTTCCGCAGGACGTAAGCTCAAGGGATCATATGGGAGTTTCCGGAAACTTGGGGGTACCTTATTTTGGGGTCCTTATAGTAAGGATCCTACTAATTATTTAGGTTTTTGTATTAGGGTCCCCTATTTTCGGAAACCCCCATATGGGAGTTTCCGTAGATAGGGGGCCCCATTATAGTACCCTAAATGGAAGTTCTCTTCTTTTAGGACTCCAAAACAAGGTACCGCTGATTTTCGGAAACTCCCATACAAACAACCCATGCGTAGTGTTTAGGAAAGTACAGCCCATGATGACTCCGTAGTTAGATAGTGTAAATTATGGTCTTTGCTGATTTGGGCTCCGTGATGTTAAAGCATCCAACAGTAGCGTTCCCCAAAAGGGCTGTCTATCCCCAAACTCCTATGCCCTACAAATCCTGAACCCCTTAACCTTGTACCGTCCTCAAGGCTGAATAAGTTGTTTATAAATGCACACTTGTGCATGCATGCATGTATGTATGCATGTGTGGCATACGTATATGTATATGCCCGTACACGTGCACAGCACAGAAAAGCGTGCACGAGTGCCCATGTATGAATGTGTATATATATATATATATATATATATATAATGTATGTGAATACGTGCATATATATATATATGCACACACATTTTGTCCACTTATATATATATATATATATACATATGCGCATGTACACATAGGAATAAAAAAACAATGCACAAATTTACAAGTAAATACATCGAACAAATAAAATGAATATATATATATATATATATATATATATATATATATACATATACATATACACATCCATATATGTATGTGTACACATATACCTGTACAATACACATGTATGTGTATATATATATATATATGTATGTATATAAGCATGTTGGCATGTCTGCAAAGTAAAGCCCTAGACCCTGAAACCCTTCTAGCAGCTCTCGGTATGAACTGTTATGTGGAACCCCTACGCTATAGGTCTGAACCCGGCATAGTTGCTGTCGATAGACCGGCTCTTCTGGTGCACACGGTTAAACCCCTGAACCCCCAAACTTTCTGCTGATGGACAAAATCCTGCATGACCCTAAGGACTCTAAACTATGGAACTATGGTACACTCCTTGTAAAGGGTAATGCAGGATTTTTGTCCATCAACAGTTAGACTCTGAAACCCCAAAGCCTAATTCCGTAAATGCTGAAGCCAGGAAAACGAAACTCTGCTCAATTTGAGGGCAAGCCCTAAGCAGATCATCAACCCGGAACCCTAGGGCAAGCAAGGTGCAGGAAAGCACGCTCCTGTCAGCAACGGCGTAGCGTTCGCTGCAGGTCGCACAACCCTGGCCCTGGTAGCCTGAGGCTTCTTATGGTTCCTACAGCTATTCATGTGGGTTGTGTACCCTACGTGTCTGGTATCATGGGGACTAAAGGTTCACCTTTTTGGGTATATAGGGATTATATAGGGGCTATACTACCCAAAAAAGGATAAAGGTTACCTACTCTACTACGCGGTTACAGATTCGAGAGCTTGGGATTTCGGGTACTAATGGCTGAAGCTCTCCAAGCTTCACATGGGAGTTTCCGGAAACAGGGGACACTAATATAGTACCCTAAATAATAGGATCCGTATAAAAAGGACCCCAAAGCAAGGTACCCCCTAATTTCGGAAACTCCCACATCTATAGAGGCCTTAATCGACTGGAACAAGGTTATGGGCTATTTCGGAATGCGACTTTAGTGAGGAATCCTCATAAAGAACCCTAAAGCCTACACCTTAAGCCCTAAAACCCTGAAGCCAGAACTGTAAACCGTGGACCTTCAACTCCAAACCCTGAAGCCCAAACCCTGCAACCCTAACCCCTAAACCCGTACTAACCCCTAAACCCTAAACCCTAGACCCCTAAGCCCTACATCATGGAGCTTTAGGTTCAGCCGGTGACGCTTGGGCGGTCGAGGTTTCGAGGGTTTAGGGATTTAGGGTGGGGTTTAGGGATTTAGGGTCGAGGGTTTCGGTGGGGTTTAGGGTTTAGGGGCTTAGGGGTTCAGGGATTTAGGGTGTTTGGGGTTTAGGGTTTCAGGGTTTTGTATCGTGATCTACTGCTAGCTAAACATCTTTGTCAGGCATTACTGCTGTTTACAAAGAACTGTTGACAATGGTTTCTAGAGCCTTTCAAGTAGAGTTTTGGGATTTGTGTTTACCGTGTGGCTTCGAGTTTAGAACTTATACGGCCTCTGGGTCAGAACAAGGTGCTGGGTACTAGCCAGCCTGAAGTAGACCTACTACAGGGGCCTTAAATATTAGACTAGGTGGGGGGGGATAGTCAGTCTGGCACACTGGCATGGGACAAATATGAACCATGTTGCCACAAACCATTTCGACCCTGTTTCTGGAGGTTCTCCAAAGCCCTAAACCCCAACCCCTAAACCTAAGACATAGGAAGTCATTGAGACCCTTGCTGCGACCTTAATCTACCCGATTACGATTAAGGTAGGGGTTCACCCAATTACCCACGTGTTCGTGCTCCAATGTTGTGAGGTTGTACTTGGGTTGCCAGCAGTATTTGGTGCCCAAACGAAGTACTACCTTCAAAGATGCTGGCAGGATGGTCATGCAGGGGCCATGATGATTAGAATGGGGTCTTGCGGTGGTTCATTGTACTTGTTGAGGGGCTAGAAGCGAGCATGGCCGCGTGGCCCTAAGTGCTAGATCTAACACCCTACACCCTAAACCCTAAACCCTATACCCCTACACCCTAAAAACTAAACAGTCGGGGTTCAAAACATTAAACCCTGCCCTAAACCCTCAACATGACCTCTTCTGGGCCCCCCCTGTATTCCTCATAAGACGAAGTCTTTATGTCAGTTCCCTCATTGCCTAGTACAAACCAGCACGACACAGGGAATTTGCGGTTTAGGCCTCGGGGTGTACTTGGAGGTTCATGGGTAGCTATAAGTGGGGCCATAAGTCCCGTAATATGGGTTATAACCCTAGTTATCCTACTTATAACCCTACTTAATATAACTGGGCTTTGAAGTACCATACTTTAATACTTTTTTTCTTAAAGGAACCCTTATAAAATGAAAGTTTATACTTTTTGCTCCTGGGTTACTTAAAAGCCCAGATAACTACCCATGAACCTCCAAGTAGGGGGGTCTTGCAGGACGCATACAGAACTTGTAGGGCCTGCTCGGGTCTTGGGTACTTAAAGGATCATGGGACTCAGTAACTAGGGTTATAACCAGGATAACTCTACTTATAACTAGGCCCTAAACCCTAAACCCTAAACCCCAATAAGGTACGTATAACCTTACTTACTAAGTCCCAGGATCCTCCAAGTAGGAGTTCATGGAGCTTTTAACGGTTTCGGTCGTAGGGTTTAGGGTGTAAGGGCGTCGATTTAAAGGTTTGAGGGCTTAGGGTTTAGGGTATCACAGACTTCAGGATCCGGGAATGAAGAACATTCAATCTTAAGCCGTGAGCCCTTCATGCTGACCCCTGCTTACGAAAGGCCTTTCTTCAGGGCGCCCCATCTTAGCATGCCTTGTCTGGCCCCTGTGAAGGGGGGGACGCTTTGTAAATCAGGGGGCTACACCAACCTGTAACATGATCCAACGCATGCTCCTTAGCCTTACTGACTTAAACGATTTTGGGAGTCTCTGATATTAAGTATGCCTAGGGGTTCTATTGATTTGGGCTGTATGGCTTCAGCGCATGAAGGTGCCTGGTCTAAAGAAACCCGAAGCCAACCCGGACGACCAAGAAGTTGCTGCAGCTCATGTACTTGGAGGTTCATGGGTAGTTAGAAATGGGATTGTCAGTCCCCTAATGGAAGTTATAAGCTTATAGCGCCACTTATAACTCATGAACATCCACTGGACTTTGAAGTAACCAGGGAGAAAAAAGTATAGACTTTCATTTCATAATGACTCTTATAAGGAACAGGTACCAAAAAAGTATTCCAAGTATGGTACTCCAAACCCGGTCCAAGTAGCCGGTTGCGCACATCGCTCTTTGCAGTCTTCCCTGCGACACGCTGCCCCCAGGGCAAGCAGCCTTCGCCACTTCCAGGGCTTTGGGTTTCGGGTTTAAGGCTTAGGGTTTAGGGTTTAAGGCTTCGGGTTTAGGGTTTAGGGTTTCGGGCTTGGGTCTTCACGAGAAAAAGGTGCACAGACGGACAAAAACATCTGGGGTCCTTGGGGTCCTTGTCCATACCAGCCCTCAAACTAAGGGCACTCCTTGTCTTCAGGAGCCCCAAGCGCGGTGCAAGGTCATAGCAACCCTGAGCCCGAAGCCCGAAATCCATCCTGCGGGCTAGGGGGGGTTTAAGATTCTTGGGGTAGGGTTTAGGGTTTAGGGTTTAGGGTTAAGGGTTAAGGGTTTAGGGTTTAGGGGATTTGTTGAAGGTGTTCACCCTGGGTGGCCATACCCTGCAGCGAAGCTCACGCAGAATGTTTTCTATGGCTGGGCGCAGAGGCGACTCACGATCTCAACGAAGCAACAAGAGAACCGACAAACCAACAAACGACCTGTACAGCTTTACAAGTTGTTGGTTACAGTACACATGGCTCAAGAGGCTTTCCTACGCAGCCTTCCCCTAAGCCAAAGGATACAGGAAACACACATGTACAAGCCTACCTGAAGGAAACTATACAAGTGCCGGCAATCCCTTCAAGCAGACTACACACCTGTCTAACCTGATACCTGGGCATGCAGTGAGAAGCATTTCAACACTCCTCCTTGCTAGAGCCGACAGGCAACTAGCACACGCTGCACTATTTACAGCATGCCCGTTCCTGGGACCTCTAGCCTTGAACCTTGGCTTGCCTTTAGAGACCTGTGCGGTGGCGGTCTCTGCAAACACGGCACAAGTTGCGGGTAGTTAAGGGTGTATTACGCCTTAAACCCCAACAATTAGAATCTAGATGAACACAATCCCCGTGCGCAGTGAAGTAAAAGGGACCTTGGGGAAGTTCATACTGCGTGCGGATTTCGATCCTGGCAGGCATCGGATCTGGTGGGACTCCTGTGACTGGTTGGAAAGCAGGCTCACGATCCGTTTGAGTAGACTGCTCACGCACTGCAGGGCGGCGACGAGACTGTGTGGCCTTGGGCCGTGGTGCAGCAGGCAACTCGTGGGAGGACTGCGAAGGCACAGGTGCCCTCTCGTTGTGAGATGTGGACTCACGTGCTGGTGGTCTGGAAGACACGTCCTCAAGACTCATGCCCTGCAGTTGGGCAGCAAGCTCATCCTCAACAGCTCTCTGCATACGCCTCAAACGCCGGGCTCGACGAGACGACGCATGCGAACCAGCCCACCACGCATCAAGCCGATCCCACAATCTCTTCAACCACTCCCACACAACAAGGACACAAACCAATGCCATGCCAAGAACGAAGTACAGCTCCAGGGATCCATCAAGCTGCAAGCCAGGATACTCGGATTCACGGCTTGAGCTTCGTGCAGGTTGGATCTGAAGCAAACACAACAAGGCACTCAACGCGACTGGGTCGACAGCTGCTGACGAGCTCGGCCTGACCTCTCGGTCGGCTGTATCACCCGCAAAGTCACGCATGCCCCATAACCTGACAAGCTCTTCAATCCTTGCAGACGGAAGAGGTTTGGTCAGTAGATCTGCAAGCTGTTCCACACCCGGGCAGAAGGCAAGCCTCAGCTTCCCAGAGCGAGTCTGCTCACGAAGGTACTCAGCTCTTACCCGTAGGTGTCGCGTTCTCCATGATCCATGACCGTCAGAAATCGCAAGTGACGCTTGGGAATCAACGTGCAAAACCCTTTCTTCCGCAACGTCAAAACCAACCGTGTGAAGCAACGCCTCAATTGATTCAAGCGCGATTGCACACTCAATCGAAGCAGTGAGTTCACTTTCAGCAGTAGAAAGTGTCACAAAAGCTTGACGCGCCGACCTCCAAGCAACTGGACATCCATGCACACACACGCACCAGCCTCCATGTGAGCGAAGGCCTTCTGGCGAGAAGCTTGCGTCACTCCAACCGTGAAGTTGGGTTCCGTCCGCCTCAAACACCAGCGACGCTGTCTTGGTTCGCTGCAAGTAAGCCAAGGCACGGTCAGCAATGCGTAGAGCACGACAAGGCGCCTTCGTAGACAAACTAGCAAGCAAGCTGGCAGTGAACGCCAGGTCCGGGCGAGTACGTTGAGACAACCACAGCAGTTCACCAGTCACCTGTTGCGCGCGGTGAACGGCCTCCCCGTCAGGGGGGCTGGAGTCTCCTTCGCCAACTTCAAACGACGCTAGCTCCCGAGGACAAGGGATTCTACCCCTCACGTGGCAAGGTACCTCATGAAGCCGCAAGACTTCTTCTGCGTACGACTGCTGTGAGAGAACAAACCCACGAGGAATGACAATGATGTCCACGCCAAGGAACTTGATCGGCTGCTCTGGGGTAGCTACCACAAACGGTGTTGTGGCCCACTTTTCTTGCAGAGCCTTTGCCAAACTTTGAAGGACACCTAGCGACCCACACAACAAGAAGTCATCAACGTACACCAACAATGCGCCCTCAACGCGACCACCTTCAACCCTGACGACTTTCCACCAGTTCGGGTCTAGGGTCGAAGGCTCAAGCCGGTAGGTCACGCCGTCAAGGTCCCACACCAACGCTGCCAAACAAGCATCTCGATACTGTCCCCACAAGCGCGGGGCCTCTCGAAGGCCGTAAACCGCGTGGGATAGTATCCACAGCTCATGTGCAACTGCAAGACCAAGCTTGACCAACAAGCGGGGCGGGGTCAACGCAAAGATGGGGAAACCTTCAAGACAAGGAATAGGCGTTTTGAGGAACGCGCTGGTGATATCCAACACTCCCAACAACCAACCAAAGAAGCTTGCCAGGGCAATCACTGTTCTCAAGCTCTCAGCCTGAGCACCTCCAGCATACACATCCAAGCCTGTATTTGGCGCCACATTTCCGCAAGCAACAAGTCTCGCTTTCCGACGGTACAAACCTTGGCCTTGCGACGAAGCCTTTGGAGCGCCCTGAAGGGCCTCTGTACTGTTGTCGGGCTGAGTGAGCGCAAGCTTTCCAGTGTCACCAACAGCTGCTGCCCCTTGGTCGGGCGGTTTCACTGTGAACACAAACTTGGAAGGTACCACCTGCAGTCGAGGATCACTCAAGTACTCGGCCTGCCTGGGGTCTGAAGGGCGCAGTCTGAGCACCGCATGCTCAATGGCCTTTACTTCTTTCTCAATGGACGGAATCCAAGGGATTGGATTGAGTGCGACTTCTGCGGGGTCTACAGTGTGAACGATTTGCAGAGGTGAGCTTAGATTGCTTAGAAGGTGTTCTATGTTCTTCGTGAACGTCGGTTCGGCTTTGCACAGGCGGTAGGGAATTACGGGTCTACCTTCGCTTACGAAACCCTCCTCCTCTAGCGAGCTACGCGAACCACTTTCTACAACCTTAAGCACCCTCAAACTGCAGTTGCTGGCGTTTGCGGCATCGCTCATGGGCTCCTGCGGAACATACATGTCCCAAGACACAGTAACCGGCCAGGCCTCATCAATCTCAACGGGTCTTTGGTTCTGCTCTGGTCCGGCCTCCTCTTTAGAGGGGCTGCATACAGGGGCAACTGGCCGATACGAACACGACCAGTTCACAGCGAAGTCTACAAACCCATCTGCAACTGGAAAGACCTCTTGCCAACCACCACCTTTGTTGACGGGCTGGCTCTCCGGGAAGCTAGGGTGTTGATGGATAGGGATCTCATGAGCCTCAGTGGCCTCCTCCTCCTCCTGTACTTGAGACAGACGCGGGGCCTGGAGATAGGCGGAGTCTGGGAGAGGAAATCCCAAATCTGCTAAGCCGTCAAGGTCATCTTTTTCGGCCTTTCCAAGCACGTCGGAAGTGTAGCCTATAACAACGACGCGGGTGCCCTTGAAGGGAGTTACGAAATGATGCCGCTTAGGATCAAACTCGAAAACTTCATCCTCTTCAAGTCTGTGCACCACACCGTGACGCTTGCGACCTCGTGCATCAGTGTGCTCTACAATAGACCCCCTAACAACATCCCCACTACCTAACTCAACCCAAAGATCGCCCCCACGCTTAGGAAGACACACTGGTAGGATGAGATTTGTAGTTCCCGGAAGGTTGGAAGAATCAGTGTGAATGTCCTTTTGACACGAGTTGGACAAACACACCGACGTGAAGGTAGCATCAGGTGCGTGATGCTGCAACAGGCGCGCGCACAGTGAGGCAAGCCACGGCTTACTCCAAGTCGATCGCATACAGCCTACTATCCCTCCCCTACGGAACATTCCAGCTTGATACTGCTCTTCGGGGTAGGCTTGGCAAACTTGCATGAGGAGATTCTTGGCAGCCTCAGGATCCCATTCCTGCAGCAAAGTCTTTGCGCCAGCTTCAAGCTCAGACCACGTCCATGAGCCGAGCTGGGCAGCTCTCAGCTCTGCTTCTGGCGGGGACTTTCCTACAACGCGACGCCTTACAGGGACAGACTCGCCCTCAAACTGCTCAGGGCACTCAGGAGGCTCAACAACCTTAGTTCTCACGTGCAGCGACTGTGTGAACCCATTGCCTTTGCCATCATCCCTGTACACCAAATGACCTTCATTAACCGTTGGAGATAAACCCGCATACCGACCTGAAATCCACCGTTCGGCAATCTCGCCCTTAGCAGCTGCAACAGACGTGTAGGCCTTCACGCGCACCAGGCACTTAGCACCAAAAGGCGCTGCAAGCTTCGTGGCCATACCTAGTACCTCAGACCTCTGCTGTGCTGCAGCAGCTCGCATTGCACATGCCCACAGGGGCGGCGGGAAATCAGCAGCTCGCAGTAGAGTTCGTGCCCGAGTCTTAAGCCACCTGATGGTGCGCTCTGCTGAGCCGTTTTGGGCTGGCGCATCACCCTCAGTTGTGGTGACCCTCACGAGCTGATTTGCAAACCACTTGCGAGTGGCCTTATTCATGAACTCACGCGACCTATCGGTATGCAAACGCAAGACTGGAAGATTGAGTGCCCGCAAGTAGAGGTAAATTTCTTGAAGGGCTTCAAGGAC